TCATACACATTCACACACCAATTTAATTTAAACTATTTTCTTGTTTCCCTCTCCCAGATGTTCACCTGGAGCTGGAGAGCCGCCTGGCCAAATTCATGAAGACAGAAGAGGCCATCATCTATTCGTATGGCTTTGCAACCATTGCTAGTGCAATCCCTGCCTACTCCAAGAGAGGGGATATCATCTTTGTGTAAGTGCTGTCTCTGCTAACGTGCCTGGAGCAATATTAAACCAAGATTTCGTGATCTGACTTCAAAAACACCCTATACAATGATTGTCAGTCAGGCTGAGTTCCTCTAAGATTTTAGTTTTGTGTTATGTGTACAGGGATGAAGCAGCCTGCTTCTCAATCCAGAAGGGTCTTCAAGCGTCCCGCAGCTTCATCAAATACTTCAAACACAATGACATGGAGGATCTGGAGAGGCTGCTCAAAGAGCAGGAGCTGGAGGACCAGAAGGTTGGTACAGTATTGCCTAGTTTGAGACAGGAATTATTAGGGGTGGGCATCATAGTGTGCCCTGTGTTTTTATGCTTAGCCCAGAGTGTTTGAACTGCTTAAAAAAAGTATTTATTTTTTAAAATTATTATTTTTAATAAATTTAATAATTTTTTATGTCTTACTGTCTTTCTTGTCAAAGTATCAATGCTAACATACTTTGATTCTGTTACAGAATCCACGTAAGGCTCGAGTGACCCGGAAGTTCATTGTAGTGGAGGGGCTGTACATCAACACTGCAGACATCTGTCCTCTCCCTGAACTGGTAAACAGAAAGCAAATGGACCTCAAGGCAGATAATTATTCTCCACAATACACCTAAAATCTCTTTGATTCATAAACTGGATATGCTCATTATCTCTCAATAACTGCTGTCAAGGAGCCTCTGAAGTTCACCAGGCACATCCATAAAATCGTTATCATAAAACATGTCAACCACAAATGGTTTTACTCAGGTAAAAGAAAGCATTCATTGGTTGATTCAACTTCAGAATCATTTTTGAGACTGCAGTTCCTGTAGTTTAAAAAATACACACACAAAGGGTAGCCATACAGCATAACAGCAGTTTCAGTGGCTCTACTCAACTGCACACAGAGCAGACCGGCTATAGAAACAAACCATAGAGAGGCTGTGATTGGAACACCGAGGGAGTTCGACACCATGACTCCACTATATTTTTACATAGAGAATAGTTGTTTGCTGCTATATTAATGTTTTAAATCTCACCTCTAATTATCTATTTACCACCGTTGCTCCTGCTCTTGAGTGTGCACAATTACAAAGCAGCTGCAGATGTAAACAATCAGTGTGTGACAGCTTGACAGAGGTCTAACTGTCAGCCTTTCTACAGTGAGCATTAAAAACAAAAGATGTGCACATACCATAGATACCAGAGTGTCGATGCCTAACTGCTGCTGCATTACTCACAAACACGGAATATGTATCAAATATAGCATGATTACTGCCTAGATGTAAATGGACCTGTACTTGTATCGTGCCTTTCTAGTCACTCAAAGCGCTTTTACACTAACTCATTCATACACATTCACACATAGGGATCACATAGGGAGCAATTTGGGGTTCAGTATCTTGCTCAAGGATACTTTGACATGTGGCACCAGGAGCCGGGGATCGAACCAACAACCTTCCTGCTCCGTTACTTATTGCTTGTGTTTGTGTAACTTCCAGGTAAAGCTGAAGTACAAATACAAGGTACGGGTCTTCCTGGAGGAGAGCATGTCTTTCGGTGTGTTGGGAGAGCATGGCCGAGGAGTCACAGAACACTTTGGGGTCAATGTAAGTGCACTCAACTTTAAATAAACCTGATTGAGTATAACTGTTTTATTTATTGGGAGCTCCGCTATAGTCCTATCAGTAGGTGAGTAACTGCACTCAAATGAAGAATGATAAAACAATATATGTTAGCCTTGTCTTATACACTTGATCAGTCTCTCAAATCTGAAAACATTTTGGCCATATTGTGTGCATTGTGTATACGTGTCTTGTGTGTTTTAATAACATTTCTGCACCCTGCAGATAGATGACATTGACCTGATCAGTGCTAACATGGAGAACGCTGTGGCCTCCATTGGAGGTTTCTGCTGCGGACGCTCCTTTGTCATCGACCACCAGGTAAATACAATTAGAGTTTTATTGATACGTGTAAGTTTTGATTAAATCGGTACTTAAGTTAATGCACAGTATCACTGCTCCACATAAAGCTTACTTTCAGAGATTCTGTCTTCTGCTGTATTATCAGAAAGTGAGCAGACTGTTTTTTCTTGTCATAGCAGGACAAGCACAAGTGTAACTAATGACAACGTGAAAAGTTAGTTTGAAATTTTTGCAAATTTATTAAAAAATAAGAAGCCAAAAAATCACATGTATATAAGTATTCACAGCCTTTGCTCAATACTTTGTTGAAGCACCTTTGGCAGCAATTACAGCCTCAAGTCTCTACAAGCTTGGCACACCTGTTTTTGGGCAGTTTCTCCCATTCTTCTTTGCAGGACCTCTCAAGCTCTATCAGGTTGGATTGGGAGAGTTGGTGCACAGCCATTTTCAGGTCTCTCCAGAGATGCTCAATTGGGTTTAGGTCAGGGCTCTGGCTGGGCCAGTCAAGAATGGTCACAGAGTTGTTCCGAAGCCACTCCTTTGTTATTTTAGCTGTGTGCTTAGGGTCATTGTCTTGTTGGAAGGTGAACCTTCGGCCCAGTCTGAGGTCCTGAGCACTCTGGAGCAGGTTTTTATCAAGGATGTCTCTTTACATTACTTCCCTCGATTCTGACTAGTCTCTGAGTACCTGCTGCTGAAAAGCATCCCCACAGCATGATGCTGCCACCCAACCATGTTTCACTGTTGGGATTGTATTGGGCAGGTGATGAGCAGTGCCTGGTTTTCTCCACACATACCGCTTAGAATTAACGCCAAAAAGTTCAATCTTTGTCTCATCAGACCATAGAATTTTGTTTCTCATGGTCTGAGAGTCCTTCAGGTGCCTTTTGGCAAACTCCAGGTGGGCTGTCATGTGCCTTTTACTGAGGAGTGGCTTCTGTCTGGCCACTCTACCATACAGCCTGATTGGTGGAGTGCTGCAGAGATGGCTGTCCTTCTGGAAGGTTCTCCTATCTGCACAGAGCAACGCTGGAGCTCTGTGCTTCTTCCATTTACAGATGATGGAGGCCACTGTGCTCATTGGGGCCTTCAAAGTTACCCTGTACCCTTCCCCAGATCTGTACCTCGATACAATCCTGTCTCGGAGGTCTACAGACAATACCTTGGACTTTATGACTTGGTTTGTGCTCTGACATGCACTGTGAGCTGTAAGGTCTTATATAGACAGGTGTGATTTCCAAATCATGTCCAATCAACTGAATTTACCTAAGGTGGACTCCAATCAAGTTGTAGAAACATCTCAAGGATGGAGACAGGTGGAAACAGGATGCACATGAGCTCAATTTTGAGTGTCATGGCAAAGGCAGTGAATACTTATGTACATGTTATTTCTTAGTTTTTTATTTTTAATAAATTTGCAAAAATTTCAAAAACTTTTTTTCACATTGCCATTATGGGGCGTGTGTACGTTTTTAAGGAGAAAAAATTATTTAATTAATTTTGGAATGAGGCTGTAACATAACAATGTGGAAAAAGTGAAGCACTGGTAATACTTTCCGGATGCACTGTAGATGTAGATAAGCTAGCTAGTTTGCTAGAATTTTAACTTCCTTAAGCTGTCACTATATATGTTTCTTTTATCTTTTAACCAACTTCAAAATGTGGTTGTCTTTTCAACATAGATTAGCCTTGCATATAGCATATCTAAGTTCAGGAAAAGAGGAAGTTGATTCCAAAAGGGGACAGGGACCAGCAACCATAAGTACTAACCCTAATAACATGGACTGTGATTCAGTAAAGAGTAAAATCAGTCTCTCCTGTGTTTTGCAGCGTCTGTCGGGCCAGGGCTACTGTTTCTCTGCCTCCCTGCCTCCAATGCTGGCTGCTGCTGCCATCGAGGCCCTCAACATCATGGAGGAGGATCCTGGTAAAGACCTCAATTGCTTTCTCCTCTATGCACCTTTTATTTATCTTAACTGTAGAGGAGTCTTTATTTGCTGTTATCAGGAAAGGGGCTTTCCATTTCTAATTTATTTTAGTATGAAGCAGTTCTCCTTTCAGATCTGTTCCCTTTCATCCATCTAGCTTCATCTGTTTTGCAGATATTTTCACCGTCCTTAGGGAAAAGTGCAAACATGTTTACAAGGCCTTACAGGGGTAAGTTCAGCTTTTTCTTGCTTTGATTACAGTCTATCACAGTGGGTGGAATAAAGGCCTCTATTTATGTGTGAATGTATCTAAAAGTTAGTAATGATATTAAACACAGTCAGCAGTGAATCATCTGTACATCTGCAACTTTTGTGAGGAAATTGAAGCAAGCCCCCAGGAAAAGCGGCAAGCTTTGAAGCCAAGTTGAGTTAGTGGCCAAACTGTGTAATTAAAGCAAAGGTGTCCGTCACTTGATGCACACTGGCCCCAAAAGACTTTGCTGCTGTAAAACAGTGATAAATTATTTTTCAAGTTAGCGCCTTGGCCGGCAGACGTCTCTGATGTGCTTGCTGTATGGGCCACTATAGCCCGTAAAACACGTGCAGTATGCAAACATGCAGGTCATTTCTGTCTGTCTGGTTTTACAAAGGAAGGAAGTGGTGGCTGTTGGTAGAAAGTCATTAAGCTTACGGTACTTGCTTTTGCCAAACTGGGTACAGGATTTATGATTTACTAAGTACTAGAATAACGTAGTAAAGACACTAGAAGGATGTTTTCACATTCATTGCTGAAAGTGCGAAAGTGTCTCTGTGCTCATTGAAAATACGATTTTAAGGGGCGGAGCCAACAAGCAAAGCTGATGCAAAACTTAATACATGTCTGGAAGGGCTGTTTAAGGAGGTGTGCCTTTAGTCCAGCTGACCTAGTGGCTTTTCTGGCTTCAGTTTGGAAAGGCGAGCAGTGATCTCTTCCTAAGTAAAACTAAAAACATTTACTTGCAAAGGACGTAGTTGTGTCCTTTTCTCAGGGAATAACAATTTTTTTTCTGCTCTTTTGATACCCAAGACCAAATTGGAAAGATCCTCACAGTTTTTGTCTTACACAATTCAAAGAAACATGTGTATATAAAAAGCTGTATGTAGTGTACATGTAACTCTTATATTCTATTTTTCAATTTTATTTTTTATTTAATGTGTATTTTGTACACATTACCTGGAGCTGCTGTAGCAAGTAAATTTCCCAGTGTGGGATCAATAAAGTCTGTCTTATCTTAAAATGTCCTGTATTGTGTCAAACGGTTTCTCAGTTCCTCTTTACAACCACACTTCATTCACTCACTCACTTTTACTTTGTCTGATTGTCCATGTTACGACAGAACTCCAGGACTGAAGTTAGTGGGAGTACCGTTCGCCCCGGCTCTTCACTTACAAATGGAGAGAAGTTCGGGCTCCAGAGACTCTGACCTGCACCTGCTCCGCTCCGTGGTAGATTACGTAAGTCCTCTGTTTGTTTGTTTTTAATATTTACTGTGTTATGCCCAGAATTCTGTATTTGCTTTATATTTTTGCACCATAATTCAACATTCAGCTGTGGATCAAATGGTTACATATAATTGAGTGTTAGATAGTTATTTAGTGTCTCATAGTAGTTTCCATGTTTTTCGACCAGTGTTTGGAAAGACAGGTGGCTCTAACTCTCGCTCGTTACCTGGAAAAAGAAGAGCGTTTCCTCCCCCCACCCAGGTAAGGGACTTATCTTACAATTATAATTTAGGGCTGCATGATAACAGTAAAAACAAAATCATATTGAGATTATTTTTGACAGATATTGCGATATGATTCACGGTAAGTTGGAATGATCATGTTTTACATCACAATTATTAAATAGCAGCTATTAAAATCATGATGACGGGATTGATTGATGTTACCTTTATCAAACAAATTGCAGCTGGCCAATTTATATTAATTGTGCATCCCTAATCAAAATATATATAATTCTGTTGAGTCTCTCTAGTGCTTGATACTCACCTGTTGTTTGTATTGGACAAACAATCTGTGGACTGTGAAAACAATGTTTTGTTCCTATCTTAAGAGTGCTCTCGACCACAATGGGCCTCATGGAAAACCAAACATACTCGTACAAGCCCAGCATACTAGAAAGAAATACGGAAATGTTCTTGCATTAGGCAGTGTTCTCGTACCTCCAGAGAAGAGCAAAAATAAGAAAACATTGGTGAATCCAATGTTGGGTACAACAAACTAAGAACAAATCATGGATCTGAAGAAAAAATGAGAAATTTAGATCTTTCTAGAAGTCTTAGATTACATTCATAATCTTGTAAGGGTTTCTTAAAGTCCTAAATTTAACCTGTTCAAAGTCAAAAACGTCAGCTTTATTGTCAATTACTTCAGATGCACCAGACATATAATGTAATCGAGAGGACGTTTCTCACCTCACGCACATGAAACCGATAGCACCAGGCACAAGCAGGACATATTCCCTACAATACCTAAGAAAACGTAAACAGACCAAGACATTTACTAATGCTATAAAGATGAAAAAAAGATAGACATATAAAATATAAAAACAAACTAACAATAATGATCAGAATACGCAGTCATTATACAACTATCTTAATGGTGTGCAATAATACTTTTTTTAATAAAAAAAGAAAAGTGAAACAGTAAATAGAAACCTGCCGTATAAATGAGAAACATGAAAACAAAGATTTGCCTTATTAATTGCTTCAAATTTTATCATTATTAATTATTCATAATTATGTGGTAAGGCTGCTTTAGGTAACTTTTACAAAAATAACTTTTTGGCATATTTGCTTCCTCAGACTCCTCCTAGTGTTCCTAATGGCATTTGCAAGAATCTACCTGGCTGGAGAAATCTGATTTTTTTTTCACAGACTGTCTGTTTTATGTACTACTGTATAGGGAAAGTTTCAGCAAATATGCAAAAAAGTAATTTTTCTAAAACTTTAAAGCAGTGCTTGTACATTTTCAGTGAGATTGTGCCCTCTTGTGTCTGACTGCTCCACCTGTGTGTCCTCAGTATCAGGGTGGTAGTCACCATCGAACAGACGGAGGAGAACATCCAGAAGGCTGTGTCTTGTATCAAAGCGGCAGCTTCAGCTCTCCTTAAATGACGACATAGTATTTGTCCCTGCTGACACTAAGCAGACATAACTGGAGTCCACTCAGTGGACCGGGTAGGACATCACTGTGAGAGGAACACTCCCGACCAGATGCTCTCATCCATAGACTGTGAGCCCCTTGCACTGAATGTGTCAGAGGATCTATACTGATAAATATATCTCCTTGTCTTGATTTAGTTTGTCTTTTAATAATTATTTGATCTCATTCATCATGTGTCATAACTACTACATGTTGTATATTGTTCTGAATGGAAGTGTGGGCCTCCAGCAGGAGGACAGACTGTCATTCTGCTCTGAACCGTAACGGCCCCAGTCACTAATAGAGAACACCGACGGCAGTGAGAAGCAGACTTGAACTCCACAGACCAAATGACTTGTTGCTTTTTATGTACTGACCAAAGAGGAGACATTGTGCTCATTTTATTGTATTGTTAATGTGTCACCTGAACTGTACACAAGGGTTGTGATTTTATACACCATTAGTTGTTTTACACCTGGATTTTTTTTCACTTCTCTTTTGTTAGAGGTCATTGCATTTCTGACCACTTTGCTTCTGTGAACTGTAAATATATCTGATTTAAATTAAGTTATGTGTGTGTGTGTGTTTTTTTTTTTTTTGTATGAAATGATGTGTGATGTGTATCTGTTTTGGGTTAAGATGATTTGACAAGTGTTTAGGCAGATTTCTCAAAATAAACATTTAATAATGTGGGGTGGCTTTAAGCATTTCAAAGCAAAACATCTGAACTTTTTATGACTTCTGCCATTTGTTTTAAGAATGTTGTGTTTTGTATCGTAGGCTGCCCGGTCCGGGGTGTACGGGCTGAACCCAGAGAGCCCCGGCCCATTTTAATGTCTGGTTGTGTGCTTTAAGTTGGCCACTGTATGTAAGCCTATTCCTTACAATAATTAGTCACACTGTAAATTCCATCAGAACAAATCACTGTGGAGAAAAACATTCTTACAAAAAAGTTCATCAAAGGTTCATATGATTTGCTTTGACACTCTGAGGCCTACCCGACAGAGCAGTGTGTGTATGTCACGGTCCACTCCTATGAACCGTACGAAGTGTTTATCTTGTGAAATCTGCCTTTTGTTTTCTCGAGATAAATGAACCCATTATCATGAAAAAAACAGCTTTATTGTGCCGAGATAATGAAATGATGAACTTGTGACCTCGATAAAGACATTTAACAAAAGGTTTGAATCCATGACCGTTTCGGGCTTACATAGGAATCTTTCAGTGCACACGTGAATGGAAAGGTATACATGTACAAAGGTATGTGAATGGCTGTATTTATATAGTGCTTTCATCAAAAGCTTTACAATTCACCTCTCATCCATCCTCTTAGACACAGCGAGCCAGCTACTGTATGCTGACCATCAATGTCTTGCCCAAGGACACTTTGACAGGAGGAGCTGGGGATTGAACCATCGATCCTGTGATTAGGGTGTGCCCCTTTACCTGCTGAGCCTCCAACACCTGTGCTCCTTGCCTCAGGCCAAAGTAGATCCAGCATTTAAACTGTATCGCTGTAATTAAAGTTACATAAAAGGGCAGTTGATAACAATATTTATCTGATAGTTTATTAATTTTGCACAATCGTGATAAAATACATTAAAACATTTAGTTCATCATTAAGTTAACGAGTTAGCGAGTACTTGGATTTGGGGTATTAGAGGGGGAAAATTACATTTCCACAAAAGGCACAAACTGTAATACAATAATACATTAAGTGGAGACACTGAAGATGAATGGGGTAAAGATTTAACAGATCACCATGAAACTTCCCTTATTGATTAAGACAAAATTGCCTTGATGTAAGTACACAAGTTTTCTGAAATGTTATGCTTAAATATGCAAATATTTGAGCTGTGGCTCAGAGGCAGAGCGGGTCGTCCCCCAATCAGAAGGTTGTTGGTTGGATCCCCGGCTCCTCCTGCCACGATGATCGAAGTATCCTTGACAAGATACTGAACCACAAAATATGCTTCCGATTGATAGCAGAAATGATGTATGAAATGAGTTAGATTTCTGTTCGATAGGACTTTTGCCATCATGAGTGAATGTGTGTAGACAAAAGGGTGAATATGTGGCACGTAGTGTAAAAGCACTATTGAGTGGTCGGAAGGACTAGAAAGCGTATAACAAGTACAGGCATCATTTACCAAATAATGCATTATCTCATTAAAAATTTGATCTCCCGACCAAAAATCTTGGAAACAGGTTAAAACTTCATTTTGTTTAAACATTAGATTCAAATGTTTTTTACAGAGGGAATGTTTGATATCTCCTTTTATCACTCCATAAATCAGAAGATACAGTCAACAGCCATAAAAAAATCTAATTTCTCATTGTTTTTAGGAAATAAATGTGATATAAATCAGGCTGTGAATGATATATGAAGAAATCCCTCTGTAAAAGCCTCCTGAATAGGAATAAAACTAGAAGGTTTGGTGTATGTAAGTGCTACTGAAATGGAGATTTCGGGTTCTGAGTGTGAGAAAAAACTAATTCTGAAAAAACAGCCTTTAAAGATACATTTTGCAAGACACTACAGGACAAGACACTTTATAGATATCACAATGAAACTTCCCCAGTTGATCTTCATTTTTGACTTCAAACCTCTCCTGAACATTGTATAATTTATTCATTGTTTAATTCTGTTGTCTTTATATATATCAACTGATTGTGCAAATAAATAGACAAAACTAATTCAGATTTGTTTTTACTTTAAAGCTGCAGTAGGTAAGTATATATGTTTGTCATTTTTACTGAAACTTTCACTATACCACAACCTGTGAAATGAGACTTAACAATCAACTATCTTCAAGGCACCAACACAAAGCACTTTTCTATCTTTTTCAGTTCTGATTGGTTGTTTTTGTTCAGGCCCAGTGGATTCTTGGAAACGCCATTAGGAGCACCAGGAGGAGCCAGAGGAACCCAACGTGAGTAAATATGACAGAAAGTTATTTTTGTAAAGATTACCTACTGCTGCTTTAATGCATAATTAGAAAGCTTTTATAAGGGATGAATAAGACAAGTCTTTGTTTGAATGTGTTTCATTTATAGTGCAGGTTTGAACAGGTTAATGAACCTTTGAACCTTTATAAGACCATTAAGAATGCAATGTATATGTATATAGAATGTATAATGGTTCATGTTGAGCTTGAAGGTTTGTTCTTGACCTTAGAAACATCTGTCTTACACAAACTTATAGTGAGACTGTTCAGCTACCTCCGTCCTGTCTCTAGATGGGGCCCTCTACAAAAACGTAACCGTACTCCTGCACGTGCGTGTAAGTATGCGCGTGCGTCCGCCTCACTTTTCCGAGCTCGCTCCCTTTCAGCGCGAGAACAGAAGCCACAGCTCTGGAGGACCCGCGCAGCTCTCGAAGTCTCTACCGGACTGCACACGGGATGAACGCGGCTCTGTTTTCCTCTCCGAACCCGCATCCGTCCCGCACCTTCAGGTCCGAGTCCTCCTAGACCTGGACAGAGCGCGTTCTCTCCGGAACCCGCTGCTAGAGACGGAAAACAAGAAGAAGAAGAAGAAGAGAAGATCCAGCAGCAGACCTGAAACTGGATGAAACTATCTTGACTTTTATTTTTGATATTTTGCTGCCGTTCTCGCCATGGCCCCCCTCCTCGCCATGGCCCCCCTCCTCAGCTCTCTGCTCTGGATGCTTTTCTTGCTTCCCAATGTGAGATGCGACGGTAAGTCCCTTTCATGCTGCTACAACTCCAGACTGATGCGCTGCTCCTGAAGCTCAGTCAACAAGCGGAGAACTGATATATGATAAAGTTCAGTTCTGCATCACGTTCCTTCACTTTCCTGTGTGGAACAGAGCTGTTTGCATTCCTGGGCTTTCTTCATGCGTTGAGCTGATCTTACACAATAGATGGAGCTTCCTCTCTCTCTCTCTGCAGTTCAAGTAAAGTAAAGTTCACAGAGTTGTGTAACATCCATTGTCCTGCTCAGAGATTTTCACATCCCTTCTGCAGAAAAGCCTCATTTTGACTAACACATCCCTGAGTGTTTACTTTAAAATGCTTCTCTTACTAAGTGTTTATTTATTATTATTATTATTTGCCCCTTAAAAGTGCATATTTTACCTCCATGATGAAGTTTTTGATGGTTTTGAGGGGAGTCGGGGGTGGGGTGGTTGGGGGTGCTCGTGGGGGGCCGGGGGGCGGTCTCTGAGGACCACCTTAAAGTCTTCCTTATTCAGCTTGGTTGAGTTGACATGGTGTCCCTTGCAGCACCTGTCTTGATAAAAAAGCTGCTGCCTGTGTCGAGGTGCTCAAAGGCCATTGTGTCTTGTCATGTTAACTTGGAGATGCACCTAGCTCTCCGGAGCCTTCGATCCTAGCGCCGTTGTCAGTCGATGTCATTCATATTACTCTCTCCCGACCCCACCCTGCCCTGGGGGGCTGGGCGCCTGCGCCCGTCGCCTGCCGACGCGGTGCTCGTGGCAGCCGCCGCGCAATTATGGTATGAAATAAAAGGGGGCATTTTGGAGGTGCGGGCGCAGGCCTAAATGGGGGGGTATTACGCCCCTCTCCCCTCCTCCTTTCCCTTCTTGCCCTCTGCAAGCCAGTCATTTCTTCTGTTATGACCTCAGCAAGGACTGGAAGACAGCCAGCCAGTGACATTGCTTTATATCATTCAAGTCAAAAGGCAGCTCTGGTCTTCGCTTACAGGTTTATGTTTGATATTTATATACACTCATACAAAAAAGAATTATCTCTCTCT